TGTGTGTGTACACGTGTGTGTGTGTGTGTGTGTGTGTGTGTGTGTATGTTTCAATCATGACAACTCTCGTACGATTTTAGCATGGTGATGGATATGACAATGTTAATGTATTTGGTCTTGGCGGAATAGATCTGCTACGCTGCTGCTGAATTGCTGCTGCTGTTGGTTATTGCTGTAGTTGTAGATTATTGCTGCTGCTGCAATCAAGTACAGGAACTTGCTACTGCCAATGCATATGGCGATATGGTGCCGTGAGTATTTAAGACATGCTGCTGCTGCACAAATAGCATATAAAATAACCCGTAGCAGATCTATACAGGTGGAGCTGGGGAAGGTGTATGGTTTCAGAGAAACTTTGAAAGCGCGCTGCAGGAATCTCAAGTGAATGCTAGCCAGCCATATAAATGCAAGGCAGTAAGCTCATTGGCTGCATATGCAGCATGAACCAATCAGCTTGTGCCAAGTTGTTTAACTCTCTGAATATCATCAGTTACGTTAACAACCCGTCGCCTGTGCCATCTAGAGTTTCATGACTGAACTATATATTTATTTGAAAGTACTCTGCTCTTACCTCCTGAAAGCATTTGTGAGCATTTGCAAACACATTTGTCGTTGTCTATGTCTTTTGTGCTGAAATCACTTCCTGGCTGTCCCATGCTACTGGTTCTCCCTGCTGTTCCACTGTAGCCGTTGAGGTGTATCCTATAGAATTGTAAATGCAGGCATATACATAATACGTTATAAATATCAGTTGATTATATTTTCTTTCTACAATTTATGAATAAGACAAGGCAAAACACATCAACAGCTAAAATGCATAAAACTCTAAATTCTCAGTCTTTGTAAGTTATTGCATTTTCCTTTAGTCGGGGTACATAGAAATGTATAATAAGTTACATACTTTGTCAGTAGATGTTTCTGGTCTGTCAAATTAAAAGCTTTAAATCAAACATTAAAAAGTGCCAATCCTTGAACTGTAACATACATAGACATCATTTTAAGACATCCTAGATTTGCCAGACAGGAAGGATGTTCCCAAAGGTATATGCAACTAAAAGTTCACACAGAAAGATTAAATAATGTCTGTCATTAGCCACTGGCTAATACATTTTTAGATTTCACTCACCAGTGATTTGATTTAGAGGCTAAGAATAAGTAAAAATAGGTACAGATATATACACAAATATTGACAATGTTTTATAGACAGGAAAACAGAATCATGTTTATCTTAATACAGTTAATCCTACCAACAAGGGACAGGAGGAGGAGATGCCAATGACTAAAATCCTGTGCAGGACGTTTAAGCAGTGGAACAAAGTTTTTTGTAATGCTTATGCCCAAATACCTAAAACTCTAAAGAAGGTCTGAAAAGCAGAGATGCTAATGGGTTTTCTTAGGCCATATTTATGGGCATTAATTCACCCTTTCTCAGATTTAAATTATAGCCTGAGATTAGATCAAACTCCGCCAGCAGATCCAGCACCAAGTTAATGGAGTAATTGAGTTGTCATGGTCAGAGTCAAATAATAAAAGGTAATCTCATGTAAAGACTAGTTTTGCTTCAACCCACCACCTAATATGCCAGCCATCGCACTGGACATGAGGGCAACTACTAGAGGCTCTTATTATCTTTATCGCACTCAAGTTGCAGTTCTTTGTCATCGTGAAAATGTATTCTTTGCATGCGTTTTAAAGTCTTGTCAGTTTAAATTTCTGATATTGGGTGCTCACCCTGTGGTCTGTGTGGGTCCTAGCTCCCCAGTATAATGATGGGGACACTTATATTGTTAAAGTCACCATCCTTTGGATGAGACATCAGGACACAATCAAGGCGTTTGGGGAGTTCAGAAACAGTGCTTGTTGATATAGAGAATAACTCCTATAAATAATCAAATAAATTAACAAATAAAAAAGCATAATAGGGCCCCTTTAAAATATACAGGCCACAAATGCAATCCTGTAATACCGGATACATTGTCACAGTACTTTTTACGGTAAATGTCTGGCAATCACAGGTGGTGTTTTTTTACCGTAAAAAAAAGTTTTTTTTATTTCTTCCCCCGGATACTTTGTTTTGGTTACATGCTAAAACAGCATAATTCTGGCATAGATTTAGTTATCCCAAATCTTAAGATGCGACAGAAATACTGGTTCTAGATATAATTCATCCAGTACTAAAATGTATTGATAATTAATTTGATCTAATTAAAATGGACCGTTTTATCCGATATATTTATTAGCATATCACATCATTAATTTAGCCATATGCTAATGCTAATGAAATCAAACCTCCCATGCAACAAAAAAATGGTAGTTAGCCATTAGCTTGTTCAGGGGCCAGATGGTAAAAGTTGTTCAGGGGAACTGTGTTGTGTCAGGTTTTTCATGTTACATAGGCCATAACTATTTCCAGATGGCAAAATATTTTCTTTGGAGTTGTAACAATTGTGTGCCAGCCCTCCAGAGATTTTATGGCAGAATGAATGGCAGCGTTAACATGGGTGTGTACTGAATCAACAGCTTATTCGTAGTTTCCTGCTGTTTTATTTCAAATATGAGAACATACTGATAGCAGACTTTGAGACAAACCAAAAAATATATAATTTAAGGATAATTAAATGAAGATATTATAAAATAGCCAGTATAGACACACCTATGACCACACATCAATTCTGTGAATATGAATATTAATATAGAAAGTTGTGATGCTTGATGACCATAAAGGAACTACTCTACAACTCTTAATACCAGCTTCTTCCTTCGTGTTTCTTTGTCACTCTTACATAGCAAAAAGCAGTCCTGCCTACTGATAGCCATGTAGCTATTTACTGTGGTGTAAACGGTATAGCATAATTCTACCGTCATACAGCATATTGTCTAAATCACACACAGACCTCAAAATGAGTCACAAATCTCCCAGGTATAAAAAAGCACAGGGTAATTCTTCACCTGTAATTCTGCTTCTCTCCATCTAGTGAGAACTGCTCATATTTTGAAAAGGCCGTATTCCCCTCCCAGTCCATCAGATCTATCCTGAGCACATATTGTTTTTCTTGTGTCAATTTAGAGATGATTTCATTCCCCAACCAGTGTTCACCTGAGATATCTCCAAACCCCTGAAATGAAAAAACAGAAAGTCCATGTTTCATAGTAGTGTACATTAACATTTAGTCATTTATCAGACACATTTACAATGTGAAATTACAATGTGAATTACAAATGAGGACAATAGAAGCAATCAAAACCAATAAAAGAGCAATAATATGTAAGTGCTGTGACAAGTCTTAGTTAGTCTAACGCAATACACATAGCAGGTTTTTGCATGTGTGTATATATATATATATATATATATATATATATATGTGTGTGTGTGTGTGTGTGTGTGTGTATATATATACGTAAGGGATAATGCACGATGTAGAGGCAAGAACCACCCGACGCAAAGCGTCGAAGTCATCGACACTGACTCGTCATCCGCAGTAGTGATGCGCCTGTATATGCATGTTTCATACGGATTACATAATCTGAGAATATTCCATTTGAATTGGTTCATTTAAAAGTAGACATTTCACTCTCTATAGATATATTTTTCCGTGTCTGTAAGGCAAGCAAGCATACACAGAGTTTCGCGCTCAAGTTCACAGAGACCGAGACGGCAGAAAGTGCATCCTGATTGCTTTCATTATTTTACAAAAGCGCAATGATTTGTTGTTATTGTGAGTGCACACAAATAAACGTAGAGTCTTTACAGATTCGAAAGCTGTATTATTCTTATCTGTATGACCAAGTATTTTAAGAGCAAATGACCGCACCGGCGCCTCCATCTGTCCTGCAGTGAGCGCTACTGTTCAGCTTCCACACTCAACGTAGAGTCTTTACAGATTCTAAAGATGTATTATTTTTATCTGTATGAGCAAAAATGACAAGAGTATTTTAAGAGCAAGTAAGTGCACCAGCGCCTCCATCTGTCCTGCAGTGATCTCTACTGTTCAGCTTCCACACTCCGCACAGACACATAGACACATTTCTCTAGGTTAACATGAGATTGAGCGGTCATGTAAAGTTGCTAATACTTACATATTTCAGATGCTAAGCCATATTTGAGGTCAATGAATGATAGGCAAGCGTTTGGATGTCCTGCCCGATGTACTGTTACCACAAAGACCAGCCGCTAACGATCTATCTGTCACGGACTGCATGACTTCACCAATGTGGATTTTTTTTCTGCGAAAATTTGGTCGAGCAAGCCTCTTCTGGTCGACTAATGGTTAGTTGACTATTAGGGGGCAGCCCTAATTTGAACCCTTTTCAAAAATGACTGTATGATTTTGTGATCCATCTATTCACACGGAGGACAACTGAGGGACTCATATGCAACTATTACAGAAGGTTCAAACGCTCACTGATGAAAACGATGCATTAAAGGGGTCATATGACGTTGCTAAAAATAACATTATGTTGTGTATTTGGTGTAATGTAATGTGTTTATGCGGTTTAAGGTTTAAAAAACACATTATTTTCCATATAATGTACATTATTGTTTCTCCTCTATGCCCCGCCTTTCTGAAATGCATACATTTTTACAAAGCTCATCGTTCTAAAAAGCGAGGTGTATGCTGATTGGCCAGCTATCCAGTGCATGGTGATTGGCCGGATACCTCAAGCGTGTGGAGTAACTGAATAACTCGGGATATTGGTTTATTTCGCGTCAGAGGGAGTGTCAGGCACGTTTATAAACCGAATAACTTAAATAATTTGTGGATTAGTGCATACTGGAGACGCGAACCGTTTCAAATGATTCAGTTCGATTTGGTCAACTGTTTCGACCGGTTCACTAAGAAGATCCGGTTAAATAGAATGATTCGTTTGCGATCCAGACATCACTAGACGAGACAAAACCAATAAACCCATAATAAACGAGGCATTTGTTGCATCCAGTGAGGACATAATTACGGATTATAATGACTTATGCTGTCTTTTTACGCGTTGCATCGCACCGCGTAAACATAAAACCATGTCTGCATTTTCTTTGCAACTTTACAGATCTTATTTATGCACCAAGAGCTTGTAACACTCCAAAGAGAAAGGAAAAATTGAAATCGCATCATATGACCCCTTTAAGAGCCAGGGGTGAAAACTTTTGAACAAAATGGAGATGTGTAAATTTTTCTAATTTTGCCTAAATATCATATTTTTCATTTAGTACTGTCCTTCAGAGGCTACAGATGATAGTTACATGTTTCCCAGAAGACAAAAGTAGATAGAATAGAAAAAGTGAATATAGAATGCAAGTGTTAGAGGGTCACGTGTAGATGGAAGAGATGTGTTTTTAGCCATTTCTTGAAGATGGCTAAGGATTTAGCTGCTGGGATTGAGTTGGGCAGGTAATTCCACCAGCAGTTAAGGTAAAAGTCTGTGAAAGTGATTTTGTGCCTCTTTGGGATGGCACTATAATGCACCGTTCACTTGCAGAACGCAAGCTTCTGGAGGGCACATAAGTCTAAACTAGGGATTTTAGGTAAAAACCATTAAATCCCTACCAATGTGTAATTTTTCCATGTTTGATGAAAATCAACAAGGCCATTAAAGCGCTTCTGTATTACTGTCCATCCACCTCCATCTGTCTCCATGTCACAGTAGGCCTGGAAAAAGAAGTGGTACATTTCTGTAAATTAAATCTTTCATGTCCTTCTGCATAAACTCTAATGTCATGCTTTTTTTTCCAGGATTTATCATAAATAAACCTTTTTGGTCACTTTCTCAAAATGCTGAGAAGTCTAAATGTCACCCTTATGTCTTTTAAACCACATATTATTTTAATACTTCCTTTAAGATATTAGGCAGATGTTCATACATTTTTATTTCATACAAATAGAAAAAAAAGTTACTTGGAAACAATGGCATTTGGCATTTGTAATATCTAATAGCATATTTTTTTTAACTGAACAATTGCTAATTTTCTTTAATTTTATTGTTGGGCTTTTTGCCTTTGAAAATACAGTGTAGACAGGTACATAGGGGTTAGAGTGAGGGAATGGGATCAAGACATGACTCAGGTTGGACTTCAACCCGAGTCTTCGACAGCCAACAGCTCATATAATACAAATGACTATCCACTTTTGTTGTATGGAAAATAGTGATTTTGATGTTCAGCCTTTTGTGTTTCACTGATTTAAAAAAAAGTAGTACATGGTCAGAACAACACAAGGGTGAATAATGAGAACATTTTCATTTGTGAATATTAGGTTTGAATGTTACTGCATTTTGCACTTGAGTTAAAGTGATAGAGGTTACCTTGAACTGCTGTTTTGTATCAGGTATGGTCAATGAGTAGACCCCACTTTCCTTGTTCCCTACACTGAAGACTGCAGCACAGTCATTGTACTGATCTGGGTTGTCCTGCATCATTGAATTGCTACCTGATGAAAGAAATGTCTTGTTGAGCCATACTGGATGCCAGAAATTGGATTTAATTACATAGCTATGCTTACCGTTTTGGTACAAAAACTGGTGTATATAGACTCAATACCATTTTGGATTATTTTCACAGTGCCCACATTTACTTACTATTTGTCACCGTATGGACCGTAATTTCACAAGATTACTGTCAAGTTTTAATAATATACTTTTATGATCATTATTGCCTTATAGGTTTTTTACTAAAACTATTCTACTATGACTATGCATATTATGTTTATTGTACTCCAGTGATGAATGTGTTTTTATGTGTCTCTGTCTGATTTACGGTTGAACTTTTTCCCCAAACATTTGAACAGCTGCTGTTGAGCTGGCATAATATTGTTTTGGGTGTTTATTTTGCCCCAGGTCCCATGTGCGAATTCAGTTGAAATGCTGATGCAAGCGGATGGTCACTTACCCACAGAGATTGTGTGGATTAGGTTGTTGACTGTATTTGTCAGTTCTTGCTGCTGCTGCTTCATTGAAGAGTTATCGGAGGAGGTTCGGAGCAGTTGTTGCTCCATCTCTTTCATTATGTTAGTCTGCTTTTCCACCAGCTTTTTGAGCTGTTCCTTCTCCTCTTTGAGGTTTTCTAGCTCAGTATTTCTCTTTCCTTCAATGTTCTCCACTCGCTTCTCCAGGACACTAACAGGAACCAAGAGAACAAGCTTTGAAAAACAATCTTCTACAGAGATGTTTTAAACTCTGAAAGGAGTCAGCAACGTGAAGTATGTAGAAAAGTGCCTGTGACTTGAACGGATCTTTACATACTTAAAGCTTAAAGCAAATTAAAGAGTTTGGAGAGGCAATGTGTGGTGATGTTTTTTAAGTAGTCCAATTAATAATGTTTACCTGTTTTTTTCATTCAGTTTGTTGATTTCATTTATCTGCTGTAGAATGTCTTTTTCCAGTTTGCTGGTTGAAATGGAGTTCTCAAGAAGCTGACGTTCAAGTCGAGTTGTTTGGTTAATAACCTAAAGATGAAAATGGACATTGTGTTTCCCACAGAATGCATCTTAGATAAGACTCTGCAAATCATGAGTATTTCCATATAACTTGCAGACATTGAATCACTCTCTTCTCTGAAGGTATTTTGTAGTTTTTCAGCTGCTGTGGTCTTCCACTGACTTTTTAACTGTAAAACCATCTTCAGAACAATTTGGCAGTTCTCCACAACATTTTGTAGAGTATAACATTGTCTTTCCTCTTTTAGGTCTTTAAGAAGTGCACTTACACTAATTGAGACTTTTGAGCAACCTATACTAAAAGCCTGGCTGTTCATTCAACTCTCATATTCTCCTCTTTTCCATTTTGCACTCATGGGGCCTCATTTTAAAATGTTGTGCAGAAGCCATCCTAAATTTGATCTTTCGATTATCTCTCAAATATGTGTATGTGTGATTCATAGAATGAACACACATACAGAAAACGCACGTACGCCTCTCTTTCAGATGTGAAATCTATGAATCGCAAATTACCTTGAACTTGTGCGCAACTGAATGGTTTCAGCTCTCTGCATTGTAAACAACTCCTAATCAATGTCATTAACATATAAATGTTCACCAGCCATCGTCCAAATCCTTTCATTTAGAACAGCGAGCTGCAAGAACAGCTTACATTTCCAAAAACCTGCAGTACTCCGACAA